GAAAGAGTGAGTGATTTCAGGATGCCGCAATAAAACTGATGGATCCTTCCCCAGGGCTGTGCTGGACTGCGATTTCTGACACATCAGCTGTGGAAATCCAGGGCAATTTGGCTGAAGCCTCTCCAGATATCTGCCTGTGTAGACGAGACCAGGACGCGGCCTGACTCTTTCACATGCCCAGCCGTTCAGCTCCAAGATGCACGCTTTTGCCTTCTGCTGTTTTTAGCAAACGTTACACGCAGTATTCATACAAGGTAATTCTTCGTTTTAAATGAAAAGCCTCTTTTCTTAAAAAAAAGCTCCTGCAGTGTTGGAAACTACAGCATTTCTTTCAGTGGAAGAGTGTGTGAGACCCCCAGGAAGCTGGGGAGCTGATGCACCTCTCGGTCGGACGGGAAGGCCACGGCCTGGATGGGACCGACCCTGCAGCGCGGCTCCAGCAGCGCTTTCAGGCTGACTGATGTAAGGCACTAACATTAGCGCAGGTAATAAAAACCTTTCCCACACAGATATATGTAGGGCATATGCGTACAAATAAATGCACTTGCAATATCTGTCTGTATAGTAAAATATTCTGTTATATATCTGTGTTTATATTGATATGAAATATTCCTTTCTGGACTCCTTTCAGCTCCTCAGGGAACAAGCATGGGAAATACAGATTTATTTTCTTCCCTGCCTCCCTTCCTTCGCTCTCTCTCGCTCTCTCTCAGGCTGAAACGGGGACTGCTGGTGCAGCCTTTTCTCCCAGATGTGACCCTCACCCGGGCGAGGGGCTCCCTGCGTTTGGCTGGGTGTTTCCCGGCTGAGCGGCAGCCTCGGCCCCGGTCTCCAGGCCGCTCGCCCGGCTGCCGTTGCGGGTTTTCCGTGTCGGAGCGCCTCGGCGGCAAGGAGAGCTGACGACCCGGCGGCAGCAGGATGTAAGCGTGTTGTGCCCACGTGTTGTCTTGTCGCACTGATGTCACACGACGGTCTCCTGCTGCGCTGGAGAGGCGCTCGGGAGGCTGCGGAGCCAGAGCGTGCTCCCGAACGCCGAGCTGCCCTGTCCGCCCTGTCCTGCAGCAGCAGGAACCACGAATCTGGTCTCTCTCCGGACTCGCCAAGCGGCAGCGGGGCTGAGGCACCACAGGGTACCTGATTCCTTGCAAGGCTCTGGCGAGAAATTAGGGCAAGAGTTTGAGCTCAGGCAAAATCCTGCTCCGGCTCCGAGTGGAGCAAACGGAGCAGAGGGCAGCGTGCCGGAGAGCAGGGCTGCTCACTGCTCCTTCCCGGCAGCGCAGTGGGGGAAGACCCCAAAAACAGCCTGGGAAAGGGGTCTCCTAAGCTGCCTTTAAACGGAGCAGCAGGTTTGTTTTGTGGCACCAGCTCAGGTCCTGCCTAGCCATGGTCTGGGCTGGAGACACGACTTGAATGTGTTGCAGCTTCTCTCCCTGTGTCCCTTTGGGTACTGGGGGATTAAGTCGAGGCCCACGGCCCATGTCGATTTTTGCTTCCTCGGCTGGGGTCAGCAGCGTCGCCTCCAGGGGTTTGCAGCTGCGCTGATCTTGGCTCCCTAGGGCAGAGGCGCTTACCTGGTTCAGTGTAACACTTTAGCATGCGTTTAAATCTACCTGCGTAGGACAGGCTCCGAGCATCCCTGGGGCCTGAAGGCTTAAAAAGTATGCCACCTGCCTAGGAGGCTTAGTTAGCCTCAAGGGTGTAAGAGATGCCAGTCAACGGAGAGTCTGCTTCCGGAGGAGAGCCGCGACAGCCCCGCTCAGGAAGGCTGCGAGGCGGCACGCGGCTGCTCCGCTTGCAGACCCGGAGCCCAGGCAGCTCCGAGGCGCGGGGCTGAGCGCTGGCCGCTGGCGTATGGGAACATAAAAGCATCTGTCCTGGTTAAAACCAAAGGTCTGTGCAGTCCAGAGTCCTGACGCCAGCCAGGATCAATGCTGAATGCTCGAGGAAATGCATTAGAAATGGGTGACTGGATGGGGATATTGTCATATTCTCCTAGGCCCCGCAACCCGGGGCTCGGATGCTTCCCGAATCAGACATGTATCTCTGTATGTAGGATGTGTTTTGAAAGAGCACCTGTGAGTGTCAGGAGCTCCAGTTTCCTGACTCCCTCCAGGCTCTGATGTCCGTGTGCGATGGGAGGCCCTGCCCTGCCCA